GGAGGAGCCCCTCCCGGCCAGGCTGTTACACAGACCAGCTTGTCAGAAGGGATTCCTTCCACAATCTGGTTTAAAATCCAGCTTGTCAGAAGGGAGTCCTTCCAACAAGCTGGTTAAAATCCAGCTGTCAGAAGGGAGTCCTCCCAACAAGCCGGTTAAATCCCAGCTCGCCAGGAGAAACCCCTCCCACAAGCTGGTACACAGACCAGCTTGTCAGAAGGGAGTCCTTCCAAAGAGATGGTTTAAAATCCAGCTTGCCAGGAGGAACCCCTCTCGGCGAGCTGGCATGTAGACGCTCAACAGGAGGGGTTCCTCCCAACGGTGTAGCTTCTGCCTCTTTAGGCCAAGGGGGGGGGGGGGGCGGTTTTCTTTTCTTTCTTTTTTTTTGAAAAAAAAAAATCCCACTTGCTGGCAATTGTCAACCAGTAAGAGGGCGGGTATCCGCGGATGCCTGATTCCACTGAAATTGTCAGTGGACATCCGGATGCAAAGCAACCATCTCTAACTATGTACAAGAGAAAAAAAAGTTAAACAACCCAAGTGGGTTCTTCAGGCGTCCTCCCCAAGATCTCCTACAGCCTCAATGTTCACAGCTGCATTGTTTGCAACATGAGCCTTTATATCCTTGTGTGTCAGAAGAGCAATGGAATCACAATCAATGTTGGAAAGCACCTTGCCACCAAAAAAGTTTGTGATCATATCTGGTCATCAACTGGTAAAAACTGTCTTGAGAAAATAGTGAAAGCACCAATACATCAATTATGTGGTTAATAGTCAAGTTGGAAATGATGTGCACGCTGATTGGTATTCACAACTCTTAAAGGACAAGTCACCCAAGTGTTCATCAATGTTTTTCCATTGATGACCGGATTCCCCCCCCTTGGCGTAGGTAATATGTATTATTGTCTGGAGTTGCAGATAATCCAACCAAGCCTTCAGAAGGGCATGGGCCCTTGGCCCATTGTTCGCTGCATCTCCTGCCTGTGCACTGTTGGGGAGGGGTGGTGTTAAACTGGACCTCATCTGTGGGATCAAAGAAGTAAAAATGTGGAGCAGGTGAGGCACCACTCTTCATGAAGAGGGGGGAGCTGTTGCTTACCAAAGCCAAGAGGGCCAAAATGATTGGAACCAGAACCTCAGATTTCATATCAATGTTTGTGATGAGCTGAACAAAGTTGGTTGTTAGTTCACACACTACCACAAGATTGGAGAAATTGAGCTCACCAAGTCCCTCATTTTCCCTTGCCTGTTCCTAAGTTGACCTTGTACATACATAGGCAGCAACACTGCCTTGTGCAGCGGGATCTGGATGGGAATAATCACATGGCAGGTAACTGCTCTTGAACTGGTCTAGACTTGAAACTCATACTTTTGAGTGTCATCTTTTGTGTAGTTCAAATCCAACAAGGGGGACCTGTTGGAGTTGGGACAAATTGATCATATGTGGGAAGCACAAAAGGACAGGAGGGCCAAATTTGTCATATTTCTCACCTCATTCAAGTTTGGTGGAATCAGTAAGTTCTACAACATGAGGGAGACAAGGAGGGGCGGTCAGGGGCGGATTGTATGAATTCAAGTATGTTGACTGCTCTGTCTTGATCTGGATCAGTAGAAGGACAGACCTTAATCCCTCCATAGGACATGGTTTCTACACTGAATGTTCAGCTCAATTGCCACATGGTCCAATGCACCATTGACTTGACAAAGCCAAAGAAGTTGGAGTGTGAAGCCATCAGTTGTTATGTGGGAAAAGTGGCACTAACATCAACTATATTGTGAATTTGGCCTTGTTGTCTTCTGTGGATGCTCACAGGAACTATTCTGGGGTACCGGTGGAGGCAGTTGACTGTAGGAAACAACTTAGAGGAGTGCATGAGGGATTGACTCAAGCGCATGTTGCAGGTACCAAAACTGGACCACCAGAGCCACCTGTGGTTGTTGATCCTGCCCTGATCTGAATTATTTGTTGTATCTCACTTGCTTTTGGGGACCCAAAATGAGGGGCAAGGGCTTGTTTATCCCATCCTTATGTGGCTTATTTAAGGCCAGATGTAGCATGAAAATTTGATTAGGCAAAAATTTTCCAGGTTTTATCTTCCTCAAATTCTCATATAATCAAAAGTGACCATCACCAAGGGCCAGTTATAAACTCAAAAACAAAGAATTACAACACCAGATCTCTCCCAATGTTTTAATTTTCAGTAGAATACAGAAAAAAATGATCATTTTTCAAAATTCAATCCTTTGGTACAAGCCCTTATTGTATTCCGCTTCCATTTGTGGCTAAATTTGTACAAATGAATGATACTTTACTCAATTGTTCTAATTTTTTTTCCCTTATGGCAACAACTGTTGTCCCCATGTCAAGTGTTGAAGCTGGTTGGGCTTCTGGACGGCATGGTAATGTCACAGGGAGCCTCAGATTTCATGGCCTCCAAGCGGGAATGGCTAAGTGACGGTTGAGTCAGTTTGCAACATGATACAGACACCAGGGGGGGGGGGGGGGCAGTGATGAACTGGGGACAGGTCAGGGACAATTAAATCCCTGGGCTTCACTTAAATTTTTAACAGGGATGCCAGGCATGGAGAGTGATTTGTGTGGAAGCCATCCCAGCCCCGGGACATCTCAGGTAAAATGGCATCCCTAGGCTGCGCATATATTTGTGAAGTGCCCTGCGTGTGTATTGGAAAGAGAAAGCACTCAAATTACCGTCTCTGCCCAGCTTGCTTGTTTCTCATTCCCTCTTCCTGAGTTCCCCTCCAGTGGTCAAGAGCTGTGCTTGCAGAGACCAAAGACCTTTCTAGAACTTTTCCATCCAGGCTCAATACATAGATTAGCATTAGCAGGTCAAGTTGGGATACATGCCATAGAGATGGGCGCATCGAATCCGGATATCCGCGCGGATGCGGATATCCGCTCACGATTTCAGCGGAAACACACATCCGCATCCGCCAGCGTTGGCGGGTATCCGCGCGGATACCCGCGGATACCCGCCCTCTGAATGGGCGGCAAGGCTCTTCCAGGAGTGTTTTTTTTTTTTTTTTAAAAAAAAAAAAAAAAAAAAAAAAAAACCCAGCCCCCTCGGCCTAAAGGGGCAGAGGCCACACCGTCGGGAGGAACCCCTCCCGACGAGCTGGTACACAGACCAGCTCGTCGGGAGGAGCTCCTCTCGGCGAGCTGGTTTAAAAACCAGCTCGCTGGGAGCGGTGTCTCCCAGCGAGTTGGCCTGTGGACGCTCGCCGGG